CTTCAGCCAGAACTCTCCAAGCATCCGAATCACCGATACCCTTTGGGTGGTTTCAAAAAAAAATGCCGAAAAGTCGTCCCAATAGTGAAAAATTGTGTTTTGGCATCGTTTCGGGGATTGCTATATATATATATATATAGATAGACACCGTGTGGAAATTGAACCGTTTGCTATGGTATAGGCTAGAAATAGATGGTGCATAGATGATTTACCTACCCTTAAAGCAAATCACTAAATCACTATGTAGGAAATATTTACAGTATAGATGAATCCCGTGATGGCCCATTTATAGATGGCCCATTGATACATGATTTGTGATATATAATGTGGTAAACCCAAAAATAAATGACCCCTCAAATCCACCATAAATGGGTTCTCTAATCCTTAGTCACCCATTATTAACCATTATTAACCAATATTAACCATTATTAACCGTTATTAACCACTACTATTAACCAAATGGTTGGTATATGCCATCCCCTAATGGCAAATTATGTTCATGGCATTGGGTTCCCCACAGCAAAAACCAAAAAGGGAGTCCCTGCAAGTCCTTGCAATACTGAAAATGATCCAAGTCTGGATGATTTGGGATCGCCCATTTTTGATAACCTTCACATATATATATATACATATATAGATATACATATATTACTGCAAAAATGTACCGTATATATATATATACTGTAAATATACTGTAAATATATATACATAAATATACACTGTATCAATATATATATATATGGTGTATATATATATATATATGTTACTGTAAATATATATATCCTGTATATATATATATAGATATATATATATATATATGTTACTGAAAATTATGCTGTATATATATATATACTGTGTATATATATGTATATATATATACATATATATATACATATATATATATATACACTGTATATAAATGTTACTATAGAGTGAATATATATATATATATATATAGAGTGAATATATATATACACATATATACATATATATATATAAATATATATACATAAATATAGAGTGAATATATATATGTATACATATATATTTACATATATATATACATACATATATATATATATATATGCATATATATATACATATATATATATATACATATATATACATATATATATATATACATATATATATATACATATATATATGCACTGTATTTATATTTATATATATATATGTGTGTTACTGTGTTGCTGTATATATATATTGTGCATATACATATATACAATGTATATACATATATACTGTATCTATATATATAAAGTATATATATATAAACTGTAAATAAATATATATATATACTATACATACATATAAATATGTTACTGTATATATTTATAATATATATACACTATATATATATATATATATACATAGACTGTATATATACATATGTTACTGTATATATATACTATACATACATATATAAATACACACTGTGTAAATATAAATATATATATATATATGTTACTGTATATATATATATATATACTTTAAATAGATATATATATATATATATACAGTGTATATATGTTTATATATATATATATACAGTGTATATATACATATATACACTGTATATATACACATATGTGCGGAACCAAGAATAGTTGGGATTAAAACCATTCCCAAGATGGTAGGTTTATTATTGAGATTCCCACATTCTATGGAATGATTCTTGGACTATTAAATCCCTAGAACAGTTTGCTATGGTATAGACTATATAGAGATGCCGAGATGCCCCATTTATAGATGATTTACATATCAAGATAGGAATTATCGATCATTTTCCATTATAGATTTCCTGCGATAAGTGTGGACATCTATATAGTCATTCCATTGTCATTCCTCTCTTAATAAGCAAATCATCCATAAATCCTCTATCAATTTCTGAAAATTAGAGGAATTTCCATCTAATCATTTCATCTATAAAATTCCATCTAATCCATAAATCCTCTATAATGTTCCATCTAATCATTCCATCTAATCAATCTATAAAGTCCTATGGATTTCCATCTAATCATCTATCATTAGAGGAATTTCCATCTAATCATCTCTATATTTTCCATTAAAGTCCTATCATTTCATGATTTCCATCCCCTTCTCCCGGCTTCTCCAACTTCTCCAACCGAAGCGCTGATCTCGCTCTGCGCCACGCTGTAGCTGGCCGCCAAGGCATGGCGCGCGGCCTGGCTCACCTGTGCCGACAGGCCATATGGGTAGTCCGAGTAAAGGGAATGGTGGTCATGAAATGGTACAGTTATGGCCATTTACCAGTTACAAGTACTTATAACCTCATTTATAGAATGTATAATCCCATTTATAACCAGTTATAACTAATAAATGGCCATAACTGTACCATTCTGTTTCCTATCTAGTCTTGAAACACTTGAATACATAGGTTGGGCGTCATGAAATTAAACAAGTTGGTTCTTCCAAAGAACTGTTTGCATGTTCCCAAGTTGCCTGGCTGAAGAACCAATCATACAATAAATTAGGGGAAGTTAACATTAGGAGTTAAGGGAATTACACCCCTCTCGTTGGAGGGTTTACCCTTGGGAGGTACTCTTCGAAAACCATGATGGTAAAGCCAAAACCTACACTTTCAATGGCTGGTGTTTCGATTCATTCTACAGGTTTTCTCCAATGATTCGAGGTGATTTTTCACACGCTTTCCGTGACCATTCTAGGTATCCAATAATTTGAAATTCAGTAAATTCAGTATCTCATTGGATTTGTTTAAGGGAAAATCTTAACCTCTTAACCATGGTTTTTACCATGAACATCCATGAAATATGTTTGGCTTAAGCCGGTTCCAATTTTCCCAACGTGGATCCATCGGATCCCAACCTGCGAGGAGCTCGCGCCATCCACTGTGAAGCGGAACTGGCCCGTAATCTGTGCCACCACCTCGCCTCGTCGATTGACCCGGCCATAAGTTGGGGTTGGAAAACGACCGTCCTCCAAAAAAATTGGGTGATTTGGAGGTTCTATTTGGCTTGCGATGCTATGCCAGGGTGTTTCCAAAAATGGAATTTATCTCAAGCGGTGGGTTTCAATACAAACATGGTCTCGTTGAACATGATTTGGGGTACCTTATTTTAAGAAACCATCGTATGTTTATTCGATGTCTTTAGGAATTTTGTTCGATTTGTGGTGTGGAGACTTTCATGAATCACCTAAGGGAGGAGTGGTGAAATGACCATCGTGAAACTCAAAGATCATCCCTAAATGTCCCTAATGGATATGATATGTTGCACTTTTCCAGGTGGTAGTGCCACAAACAACTGGTAAAGGCCATCAACGACATAGTCACACTTTTTAGGAAACATATCTACACAAGAATAAACATCATATGATCGCTGCACGTTGAGACATGATCATTGGGAGTTCCATGTTAGATTTCAGGGTTGTTTACGTTTAGAATCAACCACCGCAGCCCCTATGGTCTTGGAAGGAAACACCTTGGAAGCACCTTGGGGACCATCACAGGTGAAACCACATCAAAAACAACATGGCTAAAACATGAGTAACATCTTGGGTCTAAAGCCACAAAAATGTGTGCTTTTGGTTAAAACCAGTACCTGGCCACATTCATCCCATATCATCTCATAGTTTGAGAACATGTTTAAAACATCATGTCCCCCATTGGCCACAAAGCGGGGGTAGATCCAAATGGTGAACAAATTCAAAGTTTTCCTGGTTAAATCATGTTAAACTATAGTTTAAATCACAATTTTAGGATTCATGTATACTATTGTATTCATACTATAATATCAAATCTGGTCCTTTTCGGCGAATGATTTTGACTGATCCACACGACTTTGTTGTCACCAACGGCCCCACTTCACCACCTGTGAAATTCGACAGGTCCCATTGATCGGTTGTGTCCGACTGGTTGCCCTCAGCATCACCTGGCAAACCAACCCCAAATAGGCACGGAATGACTACGGACACAACCGGGTAAGGACTTGAGGCGAGTTGGGGAGGTATACGCAGCCGTTTGTGGTGCCATCATTGGACTATATTGGGCAATTGGTTTCTACAGCCATGGTTTTCAATGAGGGATTTTCCATCGCCTTGTTTGATTGGAGTTCTACGTCATTCAAAAATGGTATTTGGGGGGCCTATGCCAGTGCCCATCAACGTGTTTAATACGGATGGGTCTGTCCCACAATGACTGAGGGCATTTGAATCACCACTCTTCTTGGATGATATAGTTTTTCTATTTCCTCCAAAAACATGGTTCCCCCCCAAAAGCCACAGGTTTGTCATCACGTTCCCCATCAACAGTCCAGTATGTTGGGCAATGTTCCCCCGTCTCTGTGCCTGCATGAACGCTGCCACCAGGTTTTTCAAACTGCCCAAAAACAAATCCAACTGGGTTCGCTGAAAATTGGGTAATTACCTCTCAATTGCCGTAAAATTGATGGTTGATCATCACAGCAGTGTTGAAAGGTAACCTTTGAGCAAACCTAAGTCCCTGCCAAGTGACTTGTATCTGTTTCGATCTCACCTGGTCATGGGATTTCTGCTCGTGTCATGCGAGAGCTTTCCCGGCCAACGATCTGGCTATGCTGGTACCTAGTGAATCCTAGTGAACTCCAGAATAGCCGGCAAATGGATGGTTATTCACCCCAAATATGATAATAATAGGTTTTGGCCCATCCTCATCTGTGGTGAACAAGTGCAGCTAGTGACCAGGGTTGCAGGTAGGTAGGGAAACGCTCTGAAACATGAAATTGTTGTCACTGTCTTAAACTAGGGGACCCCAAAATCTCACGGTTGATCATCATTTTCGCTTACAAATGCGAATTTGGATGAATTTGGCGTAATTAGATCTCAATTTCAATCACAACAATTTTTGGGTATAATATAATATCCCATTCTATCCCCACTACGATTGATTTTACCATATATCCTCACAACTTTTTGGTGATTGTGTAAATCATGCAAACATATGCAAACCACCACCCGTTTTTAGGTACCCTGGTGGGTTGGAGCATCCTCGAAACAACCACGCCGGATGCACGAACTAATCCTTTTTAGCCTTCACTTTGCGCAGGCCACTGTGCAAGCCTCTGGAGGTTGGCCGTTGGCTATGGCATGCTATGGCCCAAAGGCTGATTTGATCACTTTGGTTACCCACAGCCTCCCTGGTTCCTTGACCTCGATCACTGTGCCAGCGCCTCTTGATATTTGGTCCACACCTCCAGGATGTTCACCTTTGCCTTCGCCGCAGGCGTCCTGATCTGCATAGTTCCGGTCTTGGGATAGTACATGATGCTACCCCGTGTCCATGTCCTCCCGAAGCGGCCGCTGGCGAGCTTCACACTCCCATGTTGCTTCGGAAGGTGGTACGAAAGAGCTCCACTTCTGCCCGTACCGGCAAGTTTCAGCTGGCCACCCAGCTTCTCTGTCACGAAGTTCTCCACATCCTGTTGATTGACGCCCTTGAACGTCCTGGTCTCAGAGTATGACACTCGCTGATCACCACGGCGTCCACCACGGCGTCCACGCCAGCATCGCATGACCATGGCGGTATGCAGTTTTCTGAGGGTCAAAGGTCTCAACTCTCCATGAAACATGTGCCATTGGGGATGATCATCCTTAAATGTCTTCATAGAACTACATGCCGCAAGCATCCACATGCCTGCATTTTCCGAACAATCGATGAATCTGATTACGTCCCCAAAGACATGCTATGAACATGTTAGTCATTGGGAGAGCAACTCGTTGATGGTGGACTCAAAGCTTGTGTTCTTGTGGACTCAAAGGTTTTTTGCCTTGGAATCTTTGAAAGTCCTAGTGTTGGGTGTTGGTAATGTCATAGAACATCCATTTTCATGAGACTCAAATATGTTGCGCATGATGAGACACATGACTATGTTGAGTGCTTCCACCCTAACACATGTTTCAAACAGTGTGACTATGTGTTCAATCACATCTCACTCCTCCTTTGGTCCAAACTGCATCGATGAGATCAGAATTTGCATGCTGAATCAACAAACCAATCACTGGATTGATTTTGTTGGGACGATCTTCTTTAGAAACTATTGTTCTGCAGATATAAAATATCAAAAGGGTTCAAACCCAAAATTTCTCTGATACCATTTCAAGGACCTAAAGATTGACAGAATGGATCAATCCACCGAACTGTCCGGCTATACCAACAAGTTTATCAGGGCCTATTGCCAACAACAAAATCTGCACCACTTGGGAACAATGAGTTCTCTGTGACAATTTCATGGATTGCTGATGGATAACGCCCACTAGATTCGCAGAGGGATCTCTACAATCGTGCTACATCCATTAGAAATATCATTGCACAGTTTGTTCAATTGATGTGTTGTGACAATCTGACAATCGAACCTGGCAAAAGGGAAACATTGTTCAAATCTATATCAGTGTATAATGTCAACCCTGGATTAATAAACCCCTAGGTTGTTTAATTGGGGGGATACCATTTAAGTACAGTATCAGATAATGACTATTGGGGGAATACCCCCCTAATTAATAAACCATGGTTTATTAATCCGGGGTTGACATTATTCATATTAAATTGATTGTCCCCCCATTCCATTCCATGGCTCAAAACATCATTTTGTCATAGGAATGTCACCTGAGAATATCCCCTATCTTTGACAAACCCTCAAAGCATTGAAAACATATCCGTTCATATCAGTATTAAATTCACATTTCCCTGGTTACATCTGGTTACTGTAGACACCTCAACTGCTCAGCTATTTTGCTTTAGTCCCCAAGTTCCAATCTTCTCCATCTGGATTTGGGATGGCCCAATGGCGCCCTACCCCATCCATCCCCGGGCCCCACTTCGAAGAGGGATCCCAAATCGGCGATTCTGTACATACATCAGACCTATATCAGACCTATATCACTGCGCATGTTTTCCAAACGACGGTTCTTTTTTTTTACCCTCTATCATCCAAGCTGGAAAGAGTAAAACATCGCTCAAATTTACTGTAACTGTATATCGACTCGGAAAATCCTGTTTAAATGATTGCCCCCATTCAATTCCATGCTTCAAACATGCTTTTTTCGCCTCATTTTGTCACAACAAAATGCCACCCCTGGGGATATCCAGTAAATCTTGACAAACCTCAAAGCATTGAACACATATCAATAAATTCAAGTCAATCTCTCTGGTTCAATCCCCAAATTCCAGTCCAACCTGAGAGGTGTCGAGCATAGGCCTGGAGTCGTCTGAAAAAAAAACATACATTGATGACTAAAATTCCTCTGCAGATTTTCCTTACACAAACATATATTATTACTCTACTACGACACTATCATGATTTTCCGAAAACAACAGACAAGAATATATTGCTATGCATGATCTAATCATTGAAATATATCATGATATACCGCTTTTACTTGGAATATTCCCATGAGTACTTGCAACATGATCGCTATGTTGCTGCTTGAACGGGCATATCACCCAACAAATATGAAGATAGTGAGCACCTAAAAGTGCTTGTTGAGACACCGACCAAACATATTCAAGTCAAATTTGGATCAGAAACATAGGAATTCTAACCAACCCAAAGGTGACCCAAAAAAACATCCAAAAACCATGGTTCATTGAGGGCTGATGAACCAACGGCGCAACGGGCATATAACCCAACATTGAGGGGGTCAGCTTTGCTAGGGGTAAATCCCCATGACATGTCATAAAATCATCATCGATTTGTTCAGATGGACCATCAAACAGAACCCCAGCCAGGTCCAGGTGTACTGCTTGCTGCGCAGAATCTCTTCATTTTTAGCCCATCGACAAGTCCTTCTTAGATCTTCTTAGCTGTTCTGCTTGTTTCTCTTGTATCTGGCAACAAATGACCAACTCATGTGGCTTTCTTGAGCTGGGCCCATTTTTTCACTGGAAAAAAAACTCCGTCAACGCCGCCCCGCGGGCAACGCCGCCCCCCAAGGGGACCTCCGTCATGACCCAAGATTTCATGCGCTCCTCGCTGGATTCCTGGCACGGGAAATCCCCTCCAAATCAAGCCATGGCATCGCCGGAAATCGCCAGTTTTTATCGCAGAAATCCCCTGGATTGAAATAGGAAGAAACATCTACCCTCTGGTTATGACTAACATAGCCATGGAAAGATCCACCATTTTATAGCTAGGTAAACCATCTATAAATGACAAGAGGGTATAAATTGGAGATTTTCTGTTGCCATGTTTGATTATAAATTGAGGGTATGTTCTGAAAATGGTTAATTTACCACAAAAATGCAATATTTCAGCCATGTTTGCTGGGAATTATTTGAACTGATCTTGTTAACAAATTGCATTCCCAATCAGAGATGGAAATTGGTGATTGATCACCACCCAAAAAACAAATCATGATCTGTCATTGAGGACCATCGTCTCATTTGCTGGAATTGTTGGTTTCAATTGTAGCAAGTCCAACAATAAACCAACCCCGAAATTACCATATGTGCTAAACCCAACAATAATAAACCAACCCCAAAATTACCATATAATGGGTGGTATAATCCATCCCCACATGGCAGTCGTTATGGTATTGGGCCGTGCCGGATCCCTGTTGATGGGATGATTTCCTCATGATCGAATTTGTTGTGGCTTCACGTTTTTTCTGGTAAGCCGTATCAACACCAACTTTTCTGGGATGGTTCCAATTTGTTTTATCAAAAACAAAGGCACAATGTTCAAAACTCCAATGGATTTCCGGACCAACCATCAAAACAGCTACGTGGGGTCACCACAGGGCACCGCCGGCACCTGCATCACCTTGGGTTCCGGCGCATCCATCAGGTGGAGGCCTGAGGCCATCAAATGCTCGGGTCCAAGGAAAACTTGAGATAAACAAAGTATGTTGGCTGGTAAACTAACAAAAAACTATGGAAAGATCCACCGTTTTCAATGGGTAAATCCACTATAAATGTGCCATGTTCAATAGCTATGTTAAATTACCAGAGGGGTATGTTGGCTGGTTTTCCCATGAAGCTTTTACATTTGAAGCAATTTGTTGATCATATGAATGTTGAATACGGAAATGGTTTGTCGTTGATAGTAGTGACCCACGCAGTAGCCAGTTTATCTACCCGACTGAGGCATTCAAAAGTAAAAAAACGTCTTGGGTTAAATGGCCGTTTGGCAATGAGTTCAACGGAAAAAACATCAGTAAGAAATTCAGGATTCCTATGGACTTTCAAAAAAACAACGAATTCCTATGGAAAAATCCTATGTCCTTTGGAAAAAAAAAATAATTCCTATGAACGGGAAAATTCATGGCCTTTCCATAGCAGTTTGCATCTTCCGTCTTCCAGGGCCTAATGAAATCAGTTGGTTTAAAGCGTGGCTCATCGTGGGGGTGGCCCGGGGTGATATATCGAACTAGTTAGATATGTTAGATAGAATTATAACATAATTAGATTAATTATAAACCAACAATAGGGATATGTGATAATATAATATAATATATCTATCTACATAATCTACATAGGAAAACCCTCCTGGATTACCAACAGGTGCCCTTACAGGAGGCTTACACGCCTTCCAGGGCTCGCAATGCCAGTGCTTCTGCTGCCAGACCACGGCCACAGAGCTCCTCGCTATTCCGTTCCGAGGGAAGATTTCAGGCACTGATCCAACCATAACAGAAGTGCTATGGTGTAGCTAACCATAGACATTATTTAGCTATGTATATGTCTATATGTGGATATAGCTATCTATGTCTATGGTTAGGAAATTGGAGCTATATAGTATCAAACATTGGCATTGATACTCGATCCAAGATGGAAAATATTGGCTGATGATTCCCTAAATGGATGTGGGTCAAAATGGAAGACCGTTAAGGGGACCACAGATGTGAATGTCTAGTTTAGTATTCACCATCCAATTATTGGGGTACCTAATTTTGACCCATACCCAAATCATCCCATATCGATCCATCATTAAGCAACAAAGAATTGGGATATGGGGAATCAGCCGGCAGACCGAACAGGTATATCGACCGCTCGGGGATGATACAATGATAGGTGACGAAAAGCCGATCATAACAACCCAATACCTTAAGCACCCCAACCGATATCTTTATCATGGTAATATGATGAAATATTAGGAAATATGATGAATAATGATGACTAATATTGAAATATGATGAAATATGAAATAGGATGAATACACACCATGATTATCACACTATACACATGTAAAAAGCCTAGCTCTCCCTATAGTCTTTCGCATTTTCTTTGGGTCTTCGGGTGCCATAGCCTCACATTCAAGCCACCAAAGCGCTGCTCCTTGGAGAGTGTCTCTCGAAAGCCCAAAGAGACCTCAGCGGAGCATATTGGACCATGTTTTCAGCTGGGGATGGATCAAAATTCTGTACTGTACTGTAAATATGTATGTTACAGTATGTTGGGAAAAATGGCAGCCCAATTTGAAAGGTGGCGAAGCTGGGCTTGCTTGCATTCTTGCCCCTTCAGATTATGCTAAACTTGGATATCTTTGATAAGAATATGTGTTCAATGTGTTCCTACACATAAAATTGTGAGAAAAAACCACCTGTCAA